AGGAGAACTTTTGGAAGTGTGTTAATGGAGTCTTTAACTTTTAATCTACTTAATTTTTCATTTTCCAGAGAGCTATGCTTCAATACTTTGAGAGTTCAGTCTCTAAAACTCCAGGAAATTTGATCTACATTTTTGCAAATTGTTAAAACAACAGTTTTGTAATTTCACATTGTATCATGACTCCTTTACAATGATTGATTTCAACTCCATCACTGGCCTATGAACTGCAAGGGAGGATAATTTTATAAGCTGCATCTAAGATCCTTCAAGATCGGATGAACAATTTATTGGTTATTGTTTGTGTTTGTTTCAGTGAATGTATTCTTGAGGGTAAACTTTTATGCACGCACTTGACATATTTCTACATCAATATATCTTTAAAGGCTTATACTTGTGTTGTTGCAACTGCATCATACAAGCTTACTTAATATTAGTGTCAAAATCAGCTCATAACCATGGCTGATCATCCATGAATGCAGTGAAGAGAGAAATCAGTGAAGAAGAGAGTATGGAGATAATCAACCAACTGATTTTCATTATGAGGAGACAATGTATTTATACAAAAAGGAATCAAAATATCTAACTAACTAATGAGCTGTCAATTTACCAACAATAACAGAATTCAGCTGACTAACTATTACTAACTAACTAACTAATTAGACTAGTAACATAATTAGTTAAATCATAACATCCCCCCTCAAGTTGGAGGTGTAGAGAACACAGACAACTTGCTCAATGCTGCAGAATGCTTGATTCCAGTCAATGTCTTAGTTAGTATATCTGCCAGTTGATTATCAGAACTTATGTGATGCAATGAAATGAGACCTGTCTGAAGCAGATTCCTTACAAAGTGACAATCTACTTCAATATGCTTAGTACGTTCATGAAATACTGGATTTCGAGCTATATGAAGGGCTGATTGGCTATCACAATATACTTCTATAGGTGTTGGCAACGGCACTGTAAGTTCTGTGAGTAATCTGCTAAGCCAAACTAATTCTCCTGCAACTTTCCTTAAAGCCCGATACTCTGCCTCTGCTGAGGACAGAGATATGGTCTCTTGTTTCTTGGACTTCCAGCTTAGTGGACTATTACCCAACAACACAATATAGCCACTCACTGACTTCCTGGTGTCAGGACATGCAGCCCAGTCAGAGTCACAATAAGCTTTAACACTGTAAGACTGATCTTTGGACATAAAGATTCCCAGTGTGGGGTCTGCTTTGAGATACCTCAGTAGATGAAATGCTGCTTGCAAATGTGGCTCTCTAGGATCTTGCATGAACTGGCTGAGATGTTGTACACTGTATGATATGTCCATCCTAGTATTGGTCAAGAAATTCAACTTTCCAATAAGTTTTCTGTAGAAAAGTGGTTCTGTGAGAGGAGTCCCTTCCTTTGCTTGGAGTTTGAATGCGGGATCAAGTGGAGATGAGCAGCTGCTCATATTTGCAATCCTGTATTCTTTCAACATGTCAAGAACAAACTTCCTCTGAGAGATGATAAGTCCATCATCTTTATAGAGTACCTCCCGAAATACTGGATTTCGAGCTATATGAAGGGCTGATTGGCTATCACAGTATACTTCTATAGGTGTTGGTATTGGCAATGTAAGTTCTGTAAGTAACCTGCTGAGCCAAACTAATTCTCCTGCAACTTTCCTTAGAGCCCTATACTCTGCCTCTGCTGAGGACAAAGATATGGTCTCTTGTTTCTTGGACTTCCAGCTTAGTGGACTGTTACCCAGTAACACAATATAGCCACTTACTGATTTCCTGGTATCAGGACATGCAGCCCAGTCAGAGTCACAATAAGCTTTGACATTGTAAGACTGATCTTTGGACATAAAAATTCCCAGTGTGGGGTCTGCTTTGAGATATCTCAGTAGATGAAATGCTGCTTGCAAATGTGGCTCTCTAGGATCTTGCATGAACTGGCTGAGATGCTGTACACTATATGATATGTCCATCCTAGTATTAGTCAAGAAATTCAACCTTCCAATAAGTTTTCTGTAGAAAAGTGGTTCTGTTAAAGAAGTTCCTTCCTTTGCTTGGAGTTTGAACGCAGGATCAAGTGGAGATGAGCAGCTGCTCATGTTTGCAATCTTGTAATCTTTTAGCATGTCAAGAACAAACTTCCTCTGAGAGATGATAAGTCCATCATCTTTATAGAGTACCTCCATTCCAAGGAAATAGTGTAGCTTGCCTAAATCCTTAATTTTGAACTTGTCATGAAGGAATGCCTTGAGTTCCTTGATTTCAAAAATATTTGTGCCAGTTAAGATCACATCATCTACATAAACAGCAACAAAAATGGTGGAAGTCTCAGACTTCTTGTAGAACAAGGAATAGTCATTCAATGAGTGTATGTACCCTTTTGAATATAAGGCTTCAGTCAGCTTGGCATACCACTGCCTGCTAGCTTATTTTAAGCCATATAGAGACTTGTTTAATCTACATACCATCCCTGGTTTGTGTATTGCTAGGCCTGGAGGAACCTCCATATACACCTCTTCATGTAAATCTCCATGAAGAAAGGCATTGTTCACATCAAGTTGGAATATATCCCAACCCTTTTTTACAGCTGTAGCTAGCAAAGCCCTCACTGTTGTCATCTTGATTACTGGTGAAAAAGTCTCTGTATAATCAATGCCAGCTTCTTGAGTATAACCTTTCACTACAAGTCTTGCTTTGAATCTCTCAATAGTTCCATCAGCTTTATGCTTCACTTTATACACCCATCTACATCCTATGGCCTTCTTGCCACTAGGTAGACTAACAAGATCCCAAGTATGATTTGTGTGCAATGCTTCAAATTCTTGTGTCATAGCTTGCTGCCAGGCAGGGTTTATAGCAGCTTCTTCATATGAAGAAGGTTCATCATCATTACTGATATTCCTCACAAGTGTCTGACTCTCAGATGCCAAGATCTCAGATGGTATATGTTGGTGTTTGGAGAATGCAGTGTTGAGGGAAATATGTGAATTCTGTAACTGATTTGTTATATTGTTAGGCAAAACATAATCATGTAGGTGTGCAGGTAATCTATGTGATCTAGATGGTCTTGTGGGAAGTATATGCTCAGATTGTTGGACAGAATTAGGAGAATGAGAAATGGCAGGTGCTACATTGTTAGGTGATAAACTAGTTGTATTGTTATTAGGTGATTTGTGAAGTGGACTGTTACTTGCACCAACTACATTATTTTCCACATGTTGTACAGATTGCAAGGCAATGTTATCATGTAAAGTGTCTATGAAAGGCACAGAATTCAAGACTGAAGGAAAAGAAGAGACATCAGGTAAAACAGCAAAAGGAAAGATAGTTTCTTTAAAGACTACATCCCTGGAGATGTGTATTTTTCTTGTGGCCAGACTAAGAACTTTGTAACCTTTTGTCCCAAAGGGGTAGCCTATGAAGATATGGGGTGTGGTCCTTGCTTGGAATTTGTCCCTATGGGTTTGTGGAAAAGTAGGATAACATAAACAACCAAAGGATTTCATGTGTGAGTATGTTGGTTTGGTGTCATATAACAACTCATATGGGGACTTACCCTTTACATGGGAGGTAGGAAGTCTATTAATGATGTATGTGGCACACAACACACACTCACCCCAATACTTAAGAGGTAATTTGGATTGGAAAAGAAGGGCCCTGGCAGTTTCTAACAAATATTTGTGTTTTCTTTCTACCACCCCATTTTGTTGGGGTGTGTAAGGACATGTTCTCTCATGTATAATTCCTTTTCCCTTGAGGAAGGTTGATGTTTCTGTGTTCACAAACTCAAGTCCATTGTCAGTTCTTATGGTCTGAACACATGTATTGAATTGGTTCTCAATCATGGATAAGAAACTTTTGATGACTGCTAAGGTGTTACTCTTACATGTCAACAATTGGGTCCATGTACATCTACTATAGTCATCAACAATAGTGATAAAGTATCTATGCTTATCATGTGTCATCATGTGGTAAGGACCCCATAGATCTATGTGTAACAATTGAAATATTTTGGTAGAAATGTGAGTACTATGATGAAATGGCATTCTTTCCTGTCTTGCCATTGGACATATGTTACAAAGAAAGTGCTGTTTTGCAGAAAAACTCTCAGGTATAGACTTAATTTCCTTCATCTTTACAAAAGGTACATGTCCAAGTCTATTATGCCACAACACATTCACATCATTGCAGGTATGAGTCATAAAAGAAGCAGAAATATCAGGAGTTTTATTGAGTGAAGAACAGACATAAGGCTGTGTACTGTGTTTACATGAGTGAGTAGTAAAAGGTACAAGTTTAGAATTGAAAACATCTTGTCTTGACAAGTAATCAGAATTGGAAGCAGCAGAAGCAGTACAGGCAGCACCAGAATGAACAGGCTTCATCAGACATTTAGGACACAAAAAATAAAGCCCATCCTTTGCTTCACCAATTACCAGAGGCCTCTTCATTGAAGGGGCCTGCAGAATACATGAAGAATCAGAAAAATACACAGCACTTTTAGGTATGGATTTTGAAAGACAATGAATGGAAACAAGATTATACTTAAATGAGGGCACATACAACACTTCATGTAAAACAATGTCTGGTGCAAGTATCACACTACCAATTTTCATAACTTTCACCTTATAACCATTTGGTAAAGAAATTAACAAGGGGCATGGAAGGTAGGTAATGTTTGTTAGAAATGTTAGGTCAAAGGTCATGTGATGAGAGGCTCCTGAGTCAAGGATCCAAGGTTCATTTTTACTGTGAGGACATCTGCAAGATAATGTTCCAAAAACAATTGAAGAAGTACATGCTATCATACCTGCAAAATTCACACTACCATTGTCCATGTGCTTAGCATTATCCTTCTCAGCTTGGAACTGCTGCAACAACTCCACAAATTGAACATACTGTTCTCTTGTTAGTGAATGACCTGTGTCTGTATGAGTTCCTCCATCATTCTCCTCTCCTGAACAGCCGTGAACATCAGCCATTAGGCCTTTTCCTCTGTTGAATCTAAAATTCTGATTGTTGTCCCTGTATCCATTTTGGTTGAAATTCTGATAATTGTTCCCCTGTGGATTATTGTTTGTCTGTGGATAACCATGTAGTTTGTAGCATTTTTCCCTGATGTGACCAGGCCTCTTGCAATAATCACATATCATACGAGGCCGGTTGCCACTATAGGAACTGGTCTGAGAATAGTTAGTCTTGAAATTAGTATTGGTGTTCCCTGTAGAAGAATGGTTTGGTCTTGGTGACCTAGAAGGACCTGCTCCTCCTGAACCATTTGTATTGAAAGCAGCAGACTCCATGCCTTTCTTCCTTGAACTGCTTGCATTCAAAGATGCAGATTCCATATACATTTGGGCACTAGGTTTAATTTCTCTCTGTTTCTCATCTTGTACTAACAGAGAAAAAGTTTGTGCCAAAGAAGGTAATGGATTCATCATGAGGATATTCCCTCGAACTACAGTATAGGCCTCGTTCAACCCCATAAGGAACTGTATCAACCTTCTATCCTGCTCCACTTTGAACACATTATCCTTAGCTCCACAAGTGCAACTACAATTGCATTGTGTTTTGATGTGTAATGTGCTCAATTCTTCCCATAGCTTTTTCATCCTAGTGTAGTAGGTAGTTATGTCCAAAGTTCCTTGTGATAATTCATTGATTTCACGTTGAACTTGATACAACTTTGCACCATTAGTCTGATCATATCGATCCTCCAATTCCTTCCACAACTCACATGAATCAAAAACATATTCTACACTTTCTGCAATTTCCTTAGCTAGAGAATTAAGAATCCAGGAAGTAACCATATCATCACACCTTTCCCATTGATGAAATTGTGGTGTTCCTGCATCGGGCCTCTTACAATCACCATTGATGAAACCCAGCTTGTTCTTAACTGACAAAACTCTAAGAACACTGCGTCTCCACGATCTGTAACCTACTCCATCAAAAGGAGTTTGAACCAACGAAGCACCTGGATTATCCGAAGGATGCATATACAGTGGAGAACCGAGATCATTACTGTTAACACCATTGTTACTCACAGAATTCTCAGTCGAAGGGGAACCACTCTCAGTCACCATAGTAAACTCAAATCAAAGAAATACACAGAGCAGATTTGACCCAGTGATGAAACACAACAAAAAATTGAAACGAAACAGATCTAGAACTCAATCTAGCTGACGATTCTGAGACGTATATCAAAGAAGTAATTCAAAAGCATAATGAGATCGAAGAAGATGCACAAAGGTAAAGATGAATCGAGATACCTCGTGCTCTGATACCATGTCAAAATCAGCTCATAACCATGGCTGATCATCCATGAATGCAGTGAAGAGAGAAATCAGTGAAGAAGAGAGTATGGAGAGAATCAACCAACTGATTTTCATTATGAGGAGACAATGTATTTATACAAAAAGGAATCAAAATATCTAACTAACTAATGAGCTGTCAATTTACCAACAATAACAGAATTCAGCTGACTAACTATTACTAACTAACTAACTAATTAGACTAGTAACATAATTAGTTAAATCATAACAATTAGCTCTTATGTTTTTCATGTGCTTCTATTTTTCTCATTTTTCATTTAATTTCTCCCATCTAGGAAAGTAAACAACAATTTGAACTCATTATTGAGAATCCATGGATGGACGGTCAATAGATGTCGTATCATCAACAAATATAGCTACACAAGAGACTTTTTAGCCTAGGACTCGTGAAGCTGCAAATGTCACCAAATAGATCCTAATAATGCAATGACCATATTTTAATATTTACCCGATATACAGAAATTATCCTAATAACATGAAGGGATAATCACCCCACATACATATTTAAGAGACAATATTACAGGTTTTAAACTTACTTTTAAAAAATTCTTACTTATTACAGTTTAATTATGGGTTATAACATATCACTATTTATTTATAAATCAATTAAATTTTACTTCATTAAATAATTAATATTTTTATATTTTCATATTATTATTAGATTGTTTAAATAAAGAATACACCATAATTATCTCTTACACAATTATAGGAATTTACATTGATTCATGTTACTTTTTTATAGTTACACGTCGGATTTACATTGAATCATCTTCCTTTTTTACATTGTCATTATCTCTTCCACCATTTTAGGGATAACATTAATATTAGAGAATTAATTGTCATTATCTCTACACCATTTTAGGGATTTTTTTTTTCCAGTTTTCACACGAAAACCCCACACCCCCACCTTCCTCTTTTACCCATACACAAACCCCACACCCCCACCCCACGTTCCTTTTTTTACAAAGAACTGTTTTTTTCTCTCTCACCATCTTCAACGTTCGTCTTCTTCATTCAAAAAGAAAATCATCAAACTTTTCCACATGTATATGATTCAATGATGGGAGGAGATCTACACACGAAGAATGTGGAGAAAGCAATTAATAAACTTGCCACAATTATACCACTGTTTTAGCTAGCACATGATTTTATGGTAAAAGGTTGGACCTCTATTCCAATAAACTACTTGCATATGTTGCCAAGCCTCAATCCAAGCATAAAATGTATTTATAAAGAATGTGTCTCAACAAGATCCAAGCTCAAAGTATGTATTCCTATCATATTGTGTTTTGTTCATAGTAATTCACTTTCCTTCTCAATTTTTTCTTCAATGTTATTTTAGCGATTATGGACTATACGCATGTCTCTTCGCTAAATAAATTAGCAATGGAGTTTTTGATATGGGTCTCATTCACATTGATGCAAAGTATCACTGTAAAATGTACGCCATAATCGTGTGGCAGTATGAAAGAAGCAAGAACGTTGATGGCACAATTAGTGAGAGTGGAGTAACTGGAATGGTTGCTAGCAAATTTGGTGGACCGACATAGCAAAAGAACATGTTTATGATACTACCAATTATCCTACACCAAGACCAAGGAAATGAACTTTGAAATATTTGTTTGCAGTTTAGACTTTTAATTATTACTTGTTTTGATTTTGGATGATGTATATTTCTTTAGCTACAACTTTTGACAACAATACATAATATGCATTGATTTACATTGTCAAATTTATTCTTTCCAGATTAATACCAGCTGGATACCAATGCCATACATTTTTAATGCTAGTCTTTGTTCTAAAATTTTATACCAAGTGTATACAAATTGGATACAACATTAACTTGTTTTAGATTGTCTAATTTGGTTGAAAATCAATTACATTTTTTTTCATTTTCCAGTGGGATATCTGGTGGATACCAATTGAATTCAACATTAACTTGTTTTAGGTTGTCTAATTTGGTTGAAATCTCAATTACATATTGGTTTTTCAATTTTCCAGCTAGATACCAAATGTAGACCAATTGGATACAACATTAACTTGTTTTAGGCTGACTAATTTAGTGAAATTTGATGTAGATCAAAGTGACGCTACTTGAAGGAGGCCTTTCACAAGGAGTCAAGCTAAGGACCTTCAAGCATTGCAAGCTTTATGGATGAAGATGGAACCTTTGGAAGGCTCCATCATGGAAGACTTGAAGATATTTAATATATTAAGTGTTCTACCATTTTAATTACCTTGTAATTTTAATGAAGGGCAATTGAGTCTTTCTTCACTATTTTAGTTTTTTTAGTATAAATAGTAGATATTAGGGTTTCATAAGGATTTTTTGGACATGTTATGCCTCTTGTGAGAGTTTGGAAGCTCTTTGTTGAAATTCAACATTTTGTCCTAGAATTTGCAAGTAAGGTTATTACTTTCTTGAGGATTCTTATAGATTTGGTGCTTTTATTTCTCAATTAAGTGGTGTTTTTGGTTAGTTTCTCTTAGTTGCTTGAATTTAATTGTGTCCATCTCTTTTATCTATCTTTTTTTTATTTCTATTTTATTTTTATCTTCTTGTTTCACATCAAAACCCAATTACCTGTTGGTTTTTCAATTTTTTTCAATGGGATATCAGTTGGATACCAAATGTATACTAATTGGATACAAAATTAAATTGTTTTAGGCTGACTAATTCAGTTGAAATCTCGATTACATGTTGTTTTTTCAATTTTTCCAATAGGATATCAGTTTCATACCAAATGTATACCAATTGGGTACAAAATTAACTAGTTTTAGGCTGATTAATTTAGTTGAAATCTCAATGAAATGTTGTTTTTTCAAATTTTTCAATGGGATATCAATTTGATACCAAATGTATACCAATTGGGTACAAAATTAACTAGTTTTAGGCTGATTAATTTAGTTGAAATCTCAATTACGTTGTTTTTTTTTTTAATTTTTCCAATGGGATATCAATTAGATACCAAATGTATACAAATTAGATACAATATTAATTAGTTTTAGGTTGGCTATTTCGGTTGAAATCTCAATTACATGTTGTTTTTTCAATTTTACCACTAGGACATCAGTTTAATACCAAATGCATACCAATTTCATACTAAGATTTGACTTAATTAATAGGACATCAGTCGATATTAAATGCATACCAGCATTACCTAGTTTTTTACTATACATTTAAAAAACACTGAATACACAAATGATTAATTAGTACACATAATAAATGTTCTGAATATATAAGTCATTAACTTAAAAGACAAAATAAATCAAAACATGAGTTTGTCACAATAAAATAATCAAATCAAAATCAAAATAAATCATGTTTTTATTTCAGCAGTTGTGTCCCTCCCGATGATATGTACTGCATTAACCTTAGACCTCTTGAATTTCAAATCAGCAAACTATTTCCAGAGTTCAAGTTGTGTAATAGTTTATGCTCCGACACTTTTTGAATTGCATATTTTAAACAATCAACATATTTGCCTGTTCCATCAAGAAATCATCGTGTCAGCCGTACATAATACAAAAGAAAAAAATACATGTGTTATATTTGTATACAAACTTAATACAATTCTTCACACATTTCATACATATTTTTACTCATTATTCATACCAGTATCATGTCAATAGAATACCAAAATAATTCTAACTTATAAATATTTATTGTAATTTCTAAAATAAACAATATACCAAATTCATTACATAAGAATGCCAAAAAAAATATTCATTCAAACCAGAAATCATACCATAAAAACATCAAAGAATGGAATATACACATTTCATAAATTTTTGGGCACACTTTCCATACATATATCATCCTAACATTATTACAATTTAATCACATACATCATAATTTTTTTCATAGCAGAATAATGCCAACATAATACAAACATAATCCTAATTTTGACAATTAATTATCATTTATTAAGTAATGATTTATACGCAATTCATTCAAATATAATTTCAAAATTGTGCAAAGAAAGAGTATAAACAGTATACCAATTACAAATAAATTTTATATAATTTTTTTTTCCAGAAATCTTAAATTAAAAAAAAGTTCATACCAAAATCTATTCCAGTTTCAAACTTATATTATGTAATCTAAAAAAAAATGTTCATACCAAAAAAGTCACAATCAAATTCTATTATACACAAACAAAAACTGAAAATTTACTTTCCAGCATAATTATTCATACCAATATTATTCCAAATACAGTACCAAATTCATTCCAACCTATACATTTTATTTATATATTCAGAAAAAAAAAGTATCCCATATTATAATTTTAAACTGCATACCAAATCCATCTTATTATTATTATTATCAGATTGACTAAAAAAATACCAGTTTCATAACAATGTTACAACACATTTCATACATTTTTTTGTCACAAATTTCATAACTTTACAACGCTAATACTATTAATATTCCATACACTTATACTCAAATCATTCAGATACTATCCAATATCGCACAAATCCATGGTATAAATAGTATACAAAATAACCAAAAAAATAATAACAAACACAATCGTACCAACATTAACTCAAGTTTCACAAAAATGATTACGTATTATGAACAAAATAATGTTCATACAAAAAACATCACAACTTAAATTTAGTATACATAAACAAATCAGAAAATGTCATTTACAGTTTCATTTTTTTTTTTTTACGTTTCAGTAATATACAAATACTGTCACGCCCCGAGCCTACACCCTAGGCGGGACTGGCACTTGAGAACCATT